TCATGCTGTGTGTACTGCGTTAAGTAAATGACGTCAGAAAGCAATTGCCTTGTGTTCTTGGTAACCAGGCCACAGGAACATAGCGTTTTAATGGCGGACGAAAATTAATGGTTTTTGAGCGCCAAAAAATACCACTTTCCTTAATCGCATGAAGCTATAATTTGCACACCATGTACTTCAAGTACTAAACTGCCAATCTAGCGAAAAAAAATGGTAGTCAAAAATTTGATCGTAGTAGCACTTTAAAAAGGTCGATTAAAACACGCAGTATTACAAGCTATCTAAACATAGAGAAACGAAAACAAAACTATAATCGGCTAACCTCAGACTTTTCCAGACATGGTTGCCAGATAAGTCAGCTTTTTAGCTTCTCTTACTTAACCTTCTTGAATAGACAATTTTCCTGAGCAACTTATTATGAAATGATATGGAAGCGGACTCCGAACTTTTTCTCAAAGACCTTTTCCGATGTTGTACAAACTGTAAACAACACACAACTGTGACAAGCACCGCCCGACGTTTTTCAAATTCTAAACAATTCAGTACTCTCTAAAATTCCAAAACTAATTTGTCCTCAACTAAAAGAATCGTAATTACCCCTACCATTACCTGGTCAACCATGAGCTACCTCTGCTAAAATTTGCCAGTGGATTTTTAAAATTGTCATCGTTTTAGTTCACGCTCAATAGGCAACAAAAGGAGAATATCATACCGAAATACAGCTGTACGCATGATAAACCTCAATTTTCCTCATAACTAAAAGACCATCGATAACTTTACCTGCAAAAAATATGTCACAATTTTTCCTTAGTCAAAACAAAGAAACAAACAAGCAAACTCTGGAGTCGTGCGATCGCGTTTTCAACATTCAAGTATAGTATAGTATTTTGCTTAACGAAGCCTCCAAGAATACTGTTTTTGGACATTAAACACCAGATCATTTAAAAATTCAGCTTTATTTTCTTGAACAAAAGTTGAGAACCTAATTAAGAACCTAGTTAGCCTAATTTTACACTAAATACCATTTATATAAGAACCTGTTTAGGCTAACTTTGAAAAACCTAGGTTCTTATACGCGGGTTTTTACTGTATTGCTCGTGCACAAAAATATTCTTAGACAAGGCAGTGAATTTCAAGGCCTTTTCAAAATCTACCTAATAAAGAAATAAAGTACCTTTCAAGGTCCTTAACTGAATTCAAGTACCTTTCAAGACAACTACTAAAAATTCAAGACCTTTTCAAGATTGTACTAGCCATGTACAGTGAATCATTATTGCTAATCTGATAATCTAGTATTAAACCACTACTTTTGACGCATTTTCACCAGCAAAGCACTGTGAGTCGGAGTCGTAATAAGAAGGGGAGAAAATTATTATATCTTGCAAAGACAGCGTTCCGATTCTGCTTATGATCTAGCAAAAACTAGATTCTGGAGTCTCAAGTTGAAGAAGGATAACTTAACAAGTCACAATGGGTGACAAGAAAACAACTGCGAAGGAAAGGCCTCTGCTGCAGGAAGGCAAATTCACTGCATAGCAAAGCCACCTTAGGTTCTAGGACTTACCAAACACTACGTGCTTTCCGTCCAAAAACATCACACTTTGCTCAGGTTACGAAAAACTGAAATCATGGAAAGAGCTCACATATATATACATCCAAAAATATGAATAATCAATAAAATTAGTGAAGTTCTTTTTTTGTGCACTGACCTGACAGCTATTAGAATTTGGACCACTGTTAGCCTGAAAAAAGAAGAACACCGTGTAAGCATGTAGTTGGCATATATTCAAGGTCAAACATACAGAACAGTTTTTTTTTCTCAAATACGTGGGAAAGATATATTGGCCTTTGATATATTATGAGAAGTCCTAGTTCTCACAATTTCTCTTACAATATTAATTGGATTTGATCACATAAGATTTTAATCAACACCAAATGTCTTGATTAACAAAAAAATGCATAATGTGTACAAGATCGATGCATGGCATAAACTCAAATGCTCATGATGGTGAAACCTCCAGAAGTGGCTATCGCTTGTAATGCTTTCACAAACATCAAAATTGTTAGGTGGAAGAGTCTCATTGATGACCACCTCTTCTCATACTGGTGAACAGCCGACCACTTTCGAGGGGCAATAGTTTTATTCTTCTTTGTTTTTAACCTCTTGTAAACGACTGCTTAATGCACTACTCGGGTTGTGAGTTACATGTACAAACACCACAGGCACGAGCAACTTGGGCTTTACTTGCAATTAACTCTCGTCCTATAACAGTAGATGTGTCCAGACATCGTCTGACACATGTGCATGGCAGCTAATAAGACTCAAACTGATTTGCCTCTCATGAACAAAACCACTTTATTGTGCATTTTGTGGTGGTTGCTTATGGGAAGTAATGACTCGAAAAACTCCCGAAAACTCCCAACATTGTTGGATGTTAGATGTTGTATCAGTTCACACCCTGTTGCATGTTGTTGTGTGTTGTTGGGAGTTGCTGCATCCGTTTGCACACCGCGGGGACGACAACATGCAACATTGTTGGCGCAACAATGTTGGGAGTTGTTGTGTCAGTTTGCATGTACCTTTAAAGAATGTTAAATAACTCATTTTTGGTTAAAAACATCATGCAGATTGAGCTACCAAAGTTCTTTGAGCCAAACGACCAGCCAAATCTTCTCACTTGCTCCAAAGTAGACCCTTTCTACTGCAATAATGTGAGCACTTCGACCTTTCACATAATTCTCCCCCTCCAAGATTTTTTCCACACCGATCAGACGGCCTGTTATTCTATCTGTTTCTTACCATAGACCGAAGACCTGGAACATCATGTTTTAGTTTAAAGTTTTCATCAGGAAAGGCCAAATCATTATATGTAATGGAAACACCTGTGCTATCTCCCTAATACAAAAAAAGATAATATTATCAGTGGTATATATCTAAGTTCTGTGTAAAAAGTAAGAGTAAAAACATAAAATAATAATAATAATAATAATAATAATAATAATAATAATAATAAATATAGTCAATGCCCCTTATATGAAACTATTATAATGATAGGGTACATTTTTTGCAACTTACTTTGGCTTTAAGTGAGGCCGCACCATAAAAAGAACCCAGGGCTGTCACTAAAAGCAGGGTGTGGGGGATTTTTTTCCCAGCTTCTATGAGCATGACCCCCGGACTACTTTCGAACTTTACCCTCTATGTTACAGGTCAGAATTTATTTACATTTTACATTTACCATATTACAAGCATTCCCTCTCTGCAGCGCTTATATGCTCGGATTCGGCCAGGTTCGCAAAGGTTCTTAGTGTTTCAGCTCACAGACTCCACTCTAAAAAAACATTAAGACTTGGGGCTATGGCTAATGTGGTGGGCAAACTGTTCCACTACTTTATAGTTCTAGGTAAAAAGCTCTATTGAAGATAGGTTTTATTTTCGTAGGGAATTCGAAAGGATTTAGCGCGACTATTTCTAGAGTGTCTCGTAAGTGGTATATTCTTTAGAAAGATCAACTTCAACTAGGTTATTTACAATTTTGTATAACATAATTTATCTTTGGTCTGCTCTTTGCTGCTTGAGACTGCACCAGCAAAGCTCATTAAGCATGGTAGTGACACTTGCTTCGCGTCTGTAGTTGTTGCAAGCAAAGCGGGCAGCTCTTCTCTGTACCAATTCTGTACCTGAATTCAATTCAGGTTTAAATTTTTTAACCTTGGTTGATTCTTTATTCCCTTTGTCTTCCAGTCCTAATTATTCATGAATTAGGGCTGGGACAAAGGAAATTGAGAATCAACATGTTAGGTTAAAAAAATTTAACCTGAACTAAATTTTGAACAGTAACACATAAACCCAGCAGCTTGTAGTACTTTAGCTTTGGAGTCACGTACCGGTGTACATACACTATATAAAATAAAGCTCTAACTACTAAACCTTTACAAAATCTCCACCTTGAATCATAAAATCATTAATTACTCTGTACAAAAATAAAATAAATATATAAGAAATGGTAAAAATATTATTATCCACTCCCCTCAAAGTTTTTCAGGGATAATTTATTACAACATAATGATTGGTTGGCGACTTTTGCCAGACTGATTAATAATGGCAGTTTACAAGTAATGAAGGAATAAGTAATGATGCCCCCATATTATTAATGGGTGTGAATTTGAGAGAGATCACCATCAAACTGGGGAGATATATCCCCTATATATTGTTTAAGAACAGTGTAGATTCTTTAATAAAGTCCCACAGAATTTATTGTATGTGCAAGAGTTGTGAGACTGGGCCAACAGTTTATTGGATTCATCTGAGAGGACTAGAAAATCTAACCTTCTGAAATGTCATTATTTACAAAGGCTGCGCTTTCTCCTCAGTTATTATCAGCAACTAAAGGTACGTTTTTTGGGGAAAATGCAAATCCGGATTTCCGAATCCAAAAACTGATTTTTCGTCATTTGGGCCAAATCCAAAAACGGATCATGAATCCATAAAATCCACACACAGGTGGATTCTTCATGCGGATCAAATCCAAATGCGGATTTTTGAGACTTACAATCTGAGCGTTTTTTTTTTTGGAAAGGATTTGAAACAAGTATTTTTGACAAGCGGTTTTTGGAAAAAAAAAAAAAAAAACAAAAAACAAAAAA